AAGAAAAATTACAGTTACCAGTGAAAGGAGAAACTGTTTTAAATCTGCATACCTTCGGTGAAAAGAACGGGAAATATTGGCGTCGAAAGAAAGTTGAACTTACGCTCCGAAATATTAATGACCCTGAAAAATCCATAAATCTCGAAGTCATTGAAGTACCAGTCATAACAAATGCCGATATACGAGTACCAGATGTAGAAATCAAATCCAACCTTTAAGCATTCGGCATCACTTTGACAGACTGTGGTGGCGCCGATGGAATGAGTCATATTTCCGTTTTAATCGGCGCGGACGTTATGTGGAAAATAGCAAGCGAAGAAATAAAAAGGATAAACAGAAATGCCGTAGCGATGAAAACCTTGTTTGGGTAGTGTATACAAGGCAGATTTTCTTCATCAGACTTTGAAATCCATGATGCGTGTTTAAACGTAAGTGTAGAAGAGAAACTTCTAAAAAGCGTCGAATCGTTTTGGGATATTGAATCTATAGGAATTAAAAATATTTCTGACGAAGAACAAAATGAAATGGCCATTGCAATATTTAACAACTCGAATTACACAAAAGGGTAATAGATACGAAAGTTAGACTTCCATGGAAAGATCAGATTGTGACTTTAAGAGACAATTTTAAGAATGCTGAAAGACGAATTTTTAAAGCTGATCGAACAATTTAAATCAAACTTTGAACTTTTATGCGCAATATAAGAAGTTATTGACTATCAGCTTAAGGAAGAAATCATAGAAAAGGTCGATCTTGGTACTCCATCTGGGAGACGAACTTACTACATACCTCACCGTGCTGTCATCCGTGAAGATCATAATTCTACGAAACTTCGCATTGTTTATGATTCTTCTTCAAAGGAAAAAAATCATGAATCTCTAAATGATAATTTACTACAAGGACCAAATCTTCTTCCTGAACGTTTGAAAGTTTTAATAAATTTTCGACTTCATCGAATTGCATTTACGTCAGATATTGAGAAAGCGTTTTTGCAAATTTCTGTTGCACCTGAAGATCGGGATTCAATGCGATTTTTGTGGATTGATGAGAATTCAAGTTTGAGCAATCCAAGAATTCAAGTTTATCGGATGTGTCGTGTAATTTTGGAGCAAAATCAAGTCCATTTTTGCTGAGCGCTTGCATTAAGCATCATATAAAGAAATTTGAAGACATCCATCCCAGAACTGTAGAAATGTTAGAAAACTTCATGTATGTTGACGATTTTATTTGTGGATCAGATACGGAGGAGGAAGCTATACAGATATATCATGAAGCCAATGATATAATGAAAAAGGCATCAATGACTTTGACCAAATGGAATTCTAATTCGGATACTATAAAAAACCAGTATAAATCAAGTGACAACTTCGTTAGCTTTAAATTGCCTGACTGTGATTCCCCCTCAAAGATTCTTGGACTTCAATGGGATACGATTAAGGATATCTTCTGTTTTAATGCACAAGACGTTATTGATTTCATCCAGTCAAATGACCAAACAAAACGTTGTGTTTTAAAAGCTGCTTCAAAAATCTTCGATCCTGTTCGGTTTCTTGCTCCATATGTTATTCAAGCAAAAGTTCTGTTTCAGGATTTATGGCTGAAAGGTGTTGATTGGGATGAAATTATCCCACCAGAATTGCAAGACAAGTGGAATAAATGGTATAGGCAACTATGTGATCTACCTAATATCCAGGTACCTCGGTGGTATTTTCGTGATGTTGATGAAACGCCTGAAACACTGGAACTACATTGTTTTTGTGATTCATCTCAAAGTGCTTACGGAGCAGCAGTGTACGTGAAATTCCGAGCTTAAAATATTGTGGAACAAGTTTAGTGATAACCAAGAGCAGAGTGGCTCCCCTGAAAAAATTATCTTTACCAAGACTCGAGCTTATGGCAGCAGTGTTAGGTGCAAGACTTGTATTTACAGTCCATGTGCATTTTCCTCAAGCTAAGATTCATTTATGGACAGATTCTATTATTGTGCTTCACTGGATAAAAAACTCACCACGGCGATGGAAAACATTCGTACAAAATCGAGTGTCTGAAATTCAAGACAAAACATCCCCGAGCATGTGGCATCATTGTCCTGGCTCTGATAATCCAGCTGATAAAATCACACGTGGTGTTAAAGTGAGTGATCTTGTAGTAGATCAAGTCTGGTGGCATGGACCTCCATGGCTTCATCAAGATGAAATAAATTGGCCTAAAGTGAACGAGCATTGTAACGTGGTAGATAGTGCTGAAGAAAGAGTTGTGACTCAAGTTACTAGCAGTGTTCAACCTTTACAACCTGTGTTAAAAATAGAAAACTTTAGTGACTTAGGTAAACTTTTTAAGAGTCACGTCATATGTATTTAGATTCATTAATAATTTAAAGTCACAGAATAGAGTGATTGGTCCTGTGACCAAAAAATGAAATATGTAATGCTATGTGTTATTGGATTATCTTATCACAAGGTGAGTATTTTTTTGAAGAGTTGAATGATGTTAAATGTAAAAAACCATTGTCTCATAATTCCAAATTGTTTGGGTTAAATCCAGTAATGGATGAAAAGGGTTGTTTAAGAGTTGGAAGTCGATTAGTGAAATCATCATTACATGTCGATGAAATTCAGCCTGTAATATTACCAAATAATTATTTTTCTCGTTTAATTATTTTGAATTGTCATGAAAAGGTACTTCACAGTGGTGTAAATGAAACTTTAGTGCAAGTAAGAGGGAAATTTTGGATTTTAAAAGCTAAACGTTTTGTAAAATCTGTGTTACCATGATTGTAGATTTGTAAAAAATATAATGCTAAAGCTGGACACGAGATATCTGCTCCTCTTCGTGCTGACCGAGTGGAGAAAGCTCAACCATTTGAGGTAAGTGGCATAGATTTTGCTGGCCTTTGCATTTAAAAGATGGTTCAGAAGTGTATATCTCACTGTTTACCTGGTCAGCGACTCGAGGTGTCCATATAGAATTGTTATCAAATTTAAGTACAGAGTGTTTCATTCAAGCACTGCATAGTTTTTTTGCAAGTAGAGGGTATTTTGTAGAGTTATATTATTCTGATAATGCCTTTAAACCTTTAAAACTGATGATCGTGAATTAAAATATTTGTATAAATTATGTAAATATGAAAGGTTCTAAATTTCCTTGGTAAAAATGGGTTTGAATGGAAATTTATTGTAGAAGGTGCTTCCTTGGTGGGGCGGATTCTTGGGGACGTTTGGTAAGATCTGTAAAAATGTGTTTAAAACGTATCTTAGGTAAAGCTTCTTTATATTAAGACGAGCTGTATACTGTTTTAGTTGAAGTTGAAGCTGTTATTTAATTCTAGACCTATAACGTATGTATACAATGAAACAAATGAACCTGATCCTCTTTCACCATCTCATTTTATAACTGGATCTAGATTGACTGTTTTACCTTCACCTGAATCTAAACTAGAATCTACAAGATCTCAGTTGATTAAAAGATGGAAGCATAGGCAATTAATATTAGAGCATTTTTGGAAAAGGTTTTATAAAGAATATTTAAACTCCAAAGAATTCTCCCGTGTTTAAAATTAATGATGTACTTGTACGAGAAGATAATGTGAAACTCTGTAACTGGAAGATAGGTAGGATTAAGGAATTATTTCATGGAAGAGATGATAGAATTAGATCTTGTGAGATTCAGTTGGATAAGGGTGTTGTTAGAAGACCAATTGAAAGACTTTACAATCTTGAAGTTCAGTAAAATTGATGCATCCGTTACGGATGCATGGGGGGGGAGTGTTAAGTTTAGGATTGTGTATCCATAGATCGCCAAAAGATGGCGGTAGTGTTTGTTTGTAAAAAGAAACTCTGATGTCGTTCGTCTTTGGTGTTCGTGAATAAATGTTGTGTGGAAGAACGCTCCTCTGTTTATTACTTTAAATGCGATCCAGTCTGTTTATTAGAGATTTACACATATTTTGTTTATATGCCTAAGAGAAAAGATGTCTTCGTATAAAAAACTGGCTTGGATCCACGTTACACATGGGAAAATAATGAAAACGCCCAAGCAGCCATCCCCTTCTTCTGGAATCAAACCCAAGTTGAACTACCAGTATTCAGTGACTTTATTGCTTTCATCTCATTACAAGAATGCTTGCGAGCTTCATTAACTCACACTCACCGTGTGAGCCTCAGTAGTTACTAAGCATAACAAATTTACGCATGCAGATTATGTGCAGCAACTCGTATATTATTATGCTTGTATCATTAGTGTACAATGAACTATATTTATGTATTATGTGTATGCTTCTGTAATTTGCTACCTTTTTCTAAATAATCTATTCTTATAAAGTACAAGAATAGATTACTTAGAAATGGTAAAAAGAAATGACATACGAGACAAAATATAAGAGAGAGAAAACGAAGATGAGGAGAGAAAAAGAAAATAATGTTTTTAGCTTTTACACAGACAATTTTGCAACATAGAGCTGACGCCTTTCTTCATTTAATAAGGAAAATTAACTTTGCCATGTAACCCAGTTTGAAGTAAGTAAAATACGTTTCAGCCTAAATTCATCAAAGTCATTCCACGTGCTATTTAAAACAATTGACACCTCTGAAGCAAAATTTACATCACGCTCACCGTTATGCAAATTAAGGAAATTTCTTCTAAATGAAATGAACTTTTCTTGGAGAAGAAACTTGCAATCTCTATTTTCCACGCAACAGCTAATTCCCTAATATCTCATGGCATTATTCTAATGAAACTCCGTACATTTTCCTATATTACACGCATGATGATGGGGAATTACACACTAAATGGCAATGCTTAGAGTGAAAAAAAAGAAAAGCATCTTATTATATATAAAACCCCTACGCGCAAGCAGTTAATAAAGCCAGTGGGCTTTCGATGCATGTAACCATAGTTACAGCGTTATTAGCAACTCCCGCGCATTAACGAATCTCCTATTGGTCCATTTCTCTGGGGATCACAACACGTCACGCTTCGCTTCATAATGGCGACACCTACACGTCAAAAATGGCCCCCAACAATATTGCAGAAACTCATGGAACACTGTAAGTGAAAAGTGTACCAAACAATCTAACCACAGACAGACACATGTGGCACTGGAAGTTGTTTGTTTATGATCCAAGATGACAGAGCAGGTTAGTCTTCTCCTGATTGAACAATTTCTTCCTTCATGACAAGCTTTCATAATAGCTCGTAAACTTAAATCTAATGCAAAACTTTGTATTTTCGTTACGTGTGTTGGATAATATTTATGGTTATTAATTTTGAATGAAATTAATTAGTAACGGTAATAAGATCCTATGAAAACATTCGCGTAACTTGGAATTCCATCACATATTTCACATATTTGAAAGAATTAAAAAAAAACTCAAACTATTACGTCTTCTAAAGTTTATGTTTGGTGCAAATAATTCTAGAAGGAACAAGAAAGTTCTTTTAATAAATTTATCTCTCATAAAACAACAGGCTTCATTCATGAATAAGTCGAACGATATGTTAGAACGCATTTTGTAGTTATTGCAATTTATTTAAAAAAATTTTAAAAAGCAGTGAAAAGTATGTATATTCATAGAGACAGAAGTTTCATAACTGATACTCAGTATTTCACCTATAAGAATTTTACATCAATATACTATAGCAATGTAATAAAATTCTAGAAGTTTGTTGATGTCATGTTTACAGTTCAAAACTATTTTTTAATTACGTTAAATCTAATAAATGTAGTAAAATGTTCGAATTTTATATTTTATTAGCAAATTATTTCTAAAAGGAAAGAAGAAATCAATTTTAAAGCAAATTTATGAAAAGCTTACAAACTTGTATTTGAATTTCAATAAATTTAACCGCGACTTAGGACATTATATTTTAACCTCCGAATTGGTAAAAAAGAACAGAATTTTTGACGGAAAACAGCAAGAACAGTTCGAGATCATAACGCTAACGACTTTTCTGCAAGAGATTGTCGGAAAACGAAAAAAACTTAGCAAAAAATTATAATTTATTGTAATAGGTTAAATACTATATTTTCAAGTTATGTCTATTATACTCACGACAATAAACTACGTGTTTTAGAATCATTTGCACTAAACTCATGCCAACTGCCTAAGTTTCAAGATTTTATTTAAAATTACTATTAAGTCATCTTTAAGAACCGTTTATTAAATATGATTCTAACAATACTTTCTCAGAAAACTGCATGATTATAACAATTTCACAGGTCTTAAGAAAATTTCTTTCTTTAAAAGTGCGTAATTTTCAAGTAAATTTCTAAGTATATATTAGATATGAAATTTAAGCTTCGAACCCTTACTTTTTTAAATAGTTTTTCATAGTTATCATATATCGTTTTATAAAAAATGAATTTTATACAGATTTCTTATAATTTATTACCTTATTTCATATCTCTTGTATTTTTTAATTCTTGATACTGTGTAATATTTCATATAGAATTCTATGATTTCGCTTGTAAATGCTATATATATTGAATTTTATACATCATTAGAGTATATATTGTATACATATAAGTTACAAGCGAATCTAGATAGTCATATGTATTCTGTGTCAATAATTTTATATTCTATAATTTTGTGAGAGCAAATTATATATATGTAGAGCAAAATATTTTTCCTAAAACATGCTAATGTGTACTTAAGCTTGAAAAAAGAATTAGCTTTATAAATTAATTCTGTCAATGTCTGCAGAAACCTAAACTCAGCCATTAGAAGTGATACTTAAAGACTGTTAGATAACGAAAACAGAATTTAGTAGAATCATTAATTGAAACCGTTAAAGTGATTCATAGGAAAATGAAAGCATCAATAACAAGAAATATAATTCTGGGAATGCATCAAGAGCAAATTAACTGAATTGCATTGTGAACATTTTGAAACTGACTCCTTGCATTTACTATATAGTACGAGTTATTACAAAAAATCATTTATAATTTCTTAAACTATTTTTTTAATTTCTGTCAAATAAGTTAGACAACCGGTTATCAAATTTTAGTACACCAAAATAGCCTCCAAATCACTAAGTTCTGTGTATGAATTTCTTGAATGCTGCCTTTATCGATTCGATAGACACGTATGTTATAATCCATTTTTAATACACACGCATGCAGTTTATCATAATCGAACAATATCCACAGCATCAGTGGTAAGATTTCGAAGATTCTGGGTCCCTTAGTAAGCGATATAGTCAAAAAGACAATATTCTTAACAATCTCGCACAAGAAAATGTCACAGGGCATTAAATACGAAGACTGCGTTGGCCACTGTATTATCTTTCATCTTCTTGTCTTACGGTTTCTATCCATTTTAATGGTAAATTTTGGTTTAAGATTCTCTGACCAATGCTCTCTATCTTTGTTACGAATTATAACTGAAATACTCTCGCATAAGTACTCGACCTCTTATATCTTCTTGAAAGTAATAATTGTCACTGTTTACATTCAGTTATGGTATCAGCCATCACTCCATTATGTCCAAGCAGATCCTGTCAGTGATGCAGACTTATCTGCTGTATTAGCAAAGGTGGGCACATTTAGGGTATGTGAAACAGGTTAAAAAACGTAACGAGTTTCTCTAATTCAGCTTAATAAGATTTGGTATAGGTTCGATAGTTATTTGTCATGAATGTTTAAAATGTTTCATGGACTTAATAATTTTTTATACTGTACTATAATAATTTGTTAGTAACACTAATAATTTCATTTCGTAATATTCAGAAATACTTAGTAAAAATTTGTTATTAAACTATCCAGAAAATAAAAAAAAATGAATGATTTAAATTAAAAGGGAATTGATAAACCAAGCTTAAATCTGAAGTCAATTATCTTTCTTGTCACCATAAAAAAAAATCCGTACTAATTAAATCTGTGAGTGTATGTTTGTTTGTTTCTTTGTTGTATTATTTCCTCCGGAATGGCGGGGAGTTCAGTTTCGAGAAGGGTACCCCCTCCCCGAATTCCAAAAATTCCTGGGAAGCCATTTCGACCATTCTTATTTTCGTGTGACTTTAATCAGGCGAGATATTAATTGAAAACTCTGTAAACGCTAATTTTCGCATTTATTTTTCCAAGCGGCAACAGTCTTGCGCGCTGGACATAAAAATATGCTTTATTTCGGAAAGTGTTCCCAAATGTATTCTTTTATTTCGAAAAGTGTTCCAAAGTGTTGCTAAAAATTTTAAAATATGAAATAAAAATAGCATTACCAAACATTAAATATATTATTATTATATAAATTCATATTCTTAAGTTGAAGGACGGGATCGCATGTAACGTCATTGCATGTCGAAAATGTTTCATTAATACCAGTATTTTAAATTAATGGCTGCTGTTGGCACCTTTTTTGTTTCCTATTAGGATAGTTGACACGGTACGTTATTGCCACATTAATTCCTTTATTGATATTGAGAAAAAGTTGTTATATTATATTACATGAAATTTAAATCATGACGTTAGACGTATACATATTAACCTGATGTGTCAAAAGGTTTTGTTTCCTGTTTTGGCAACAAAAAATTATTTACGAATTGGTTGTTGCTTGGAAAGAATGAACTGACTACATTCATACTGAAATGTTTCTATACACTTTCTTTTCAGGTGTACAAATAGAACTCATAAATTTTGCTTTGGTTAGAAAGGTTTTATACGGTATATCAAATTAATAGTCCATTTTATTTTCAGTTTTTCATTACATAGAACTTATAAATATTGTTTTGGCCGTAGCCCGCTCATTTGGCGGGTTTTCTCACTAGTTTGTTTTTAAATCATATCATAAATGCCATTTTTACGTTTCTCAAACTTAAGCGCGAGAAATTCTCTTTTAGCTTTGCTTGCTTTTTCGATTAATCAAGCATTTAATTCCATAGGAGAAATATAAAGCTTTTACAAAATGTATAATTATTCCCCCATCTTATGAATTTTCTGTAAAATATTTCATATAGGAGGAAATTTTTCTCAACCATATGAGACATAAAAATTTCTATCACGTCAATTTTATTTCTATTACACATATAACCTCATTATGAATGACGGAATATCCAAATTATTTTGTAAATAATTATGATACATTACATCAAATTTAATGATACTCTTCTCTAAAATGTAAAATAAAGTAGCTCAAACTATGTATGTTTGTTATTATATATTTATTGTTATTTTATTTATTATTTATTACTTTGTTTCTTACTTTGCAATTTGATTTTTACTTTTTACTTATAACAGTTCCTGTATTATCAGCAATAGTCCACTTAAAAGTTTAAAAAAATGATGAAAATCAAGTCATAAATAATTAAAAGATTGAAGATAAAAGATATCTTAGAGCAAAATTTGGCTATGTAATTAAATTTTGTTTTCTATGTACCTTTCAACAAAAATAAAGACTGTTTTAATAAACTGATTCAATTAATAGATTATACTCTACCTTTAAAACGCTTACAAAAAAATCCTATCAGGAAGCATTCTTAAAACAATAACAAAGTTATCAGATTGGGCCTTTTTCAGCCTAATTCCCTAAATTTAATTTTTTAAGATTAGTTAGTGGATGGCATTTGTTTACTGAATTTTTCATACTTTGGTAAAGATTGAAAGCATTTGAGGGAAAGTTGAATTCAATGCCCTCATAATGTTTCATGAATAATCTGGTTTGGGGCTAGTTACCTGTTGAAACATATTTGCAGTGAACTTCCGATGACACGTGTATTACCCTCTCCACCCCCCATAGTTATTCTTAGATTGGTGTTTGAATGAGGTGAGAAACAAAATGTTAGTTTTTAGAAGGAATTTACAATTTTCGATGCAGTTAATCTCATTATTAAAGCACAAAATGCAGTTAAAAGATTTACGCTAATTTACTCTTCCATAGCAACTGACCATGATATTCTAAAGTAGGAAGGCTCTACGAGTCAAGAAATGACAGTATGAAGCCTAGTTGAAATTATTTGGGGTGTTTAGGTTTTGAATGTACAAGTGAAGAAAATGCATAATAGATCCAGAAGGATTAGAACAGTAAATACTGTAGGATTTTATCTATTTGTTAGCCTTCAATATCCACTGGAAATTTATACAAAAAAAAAAAAAAAAACAGAAATAAACATTAACTAATAGCGCAAAAACATAAAAGATAAGCAT